GAGAGAGACCAGAGAGAGAGAGAGTACCAGAGAGAAAGAGAGACACCAGAGAGAGACCAGAGAGCGAGAGACACCAGAGAGAGACCAGAGATAGAAAAAAAGAGACCAGAGAGCGAGACAGACCAAATAGAGAGAGAGAGCGACTGACCAGAGAGACCAGAGCGAGCGAGAGAGACCGACCAGAGAGAGACCAGAGAGTGAGAGAGACCAGAGAGAGAGAGTGACCAGAGAAAGAGAGAGAGACCAGAGAGAGAGAGAGAGAGACCAGAGAGAGAGAGAGACCAGAGAGAGAGAGACCGACCAGAGAGACCAGATATAGCTAAAAAGAGACCAGAGAGCGAGACAGATCAAAGAGAGAGAGAGAGACTGACCAGAGAGAGACCAGAGAGAGCAAGAGAGACCGACCAGAGAGAGACCAGAGAGAGCAAGAGAGACCGACCAGAGAGAGACCAGAGAGCGAGAGAGACCAGAGAGCAAGAGAGACCAGAGAGTTAGAGATACCAGAGAGAGACCAGAGAGAGAGACCAACCAGAGAGAGAAAAAGAGACCAGAGAGCGAGACAGACCAAAGAGAGAGAGAGAGAGAGAGACTGACCAGAGAGCAAGAGAGACCAGAGAGCAAGAGACACCAGAAAGAGACCAGAGAAACCAGATAGAGAGAAACCTACCATTTCTCTCCAGGGTGAAAACTGCCTGCCCTTTACTGCTAAATGTCTATTGTGTGCACAGTTTTAAGAAATGTAGATTTATTTTTGTTTTTTATGCAAGACTTTTACTTTTATCATTTGTTTGCACCAAGAGCCAAAGCAATTTCCTACTTTGTGACTTCCTGTAACGGGCAACACAAATAATTCTGATTCTGAACGGTTGCGAAACAAGTGAATGTCAAATAATGTCTTTTCTCGGCTTTGAACGTTTTTTTTCCTTGTTCTCCTGACAGAGAATCGCGCACGTTCACAGAGGCATGGGTATGAAGGTGTGCGGGGTAGTTTATTTATATACAACATTATCGCCCTGGAGCAGACAGGTTGCAGCGTGTCTCTCGCATGGGTTCAACAGCTGAGGGGAAAACATCGTTCTTCTGGTAAGATTTTTTTTGGGATTCCCAGAAAAGTGGAGTTCTTGCGGTCGTGTCTGACAACCTGCTGCTGCGTCTGCTCCGAGGAAGTGGAAAAGAATCGTTTGGCTTCAATCAGAAAAATGCAACTGTATCGTATCAACAGGCGAGACGTGTCCAAACAGTAACATCAGAAACGTGGAGGTTTTTACACAATCCACGTTTTTATACTAACGACTAAAACATGTGACTGTACAGTTTTTTATACATGCTTAAGTTAGAGATTTTGGTATAGACTTTTTGTTCATTTCTCTTGTGCTGTGTGCTCCTCATTCCTACTGTTCTGCTGATGCAACACTGACATTTAGTTATGTTCTGGACCACAAACATAACTATTGTATTGCATTTTTTTTTGTTATTCTTTTTAAAATAAATATCAGACAAGTGTGAAGTGAAAGCAAAATGACACCAGGATTGTGCCAGAAAATAAATATAAAAGCTGAAAAGTTGAGTATTCGTGCGCCGTGAGTGAATGCGTCTTTTGGGAATGACTCTACAAGCTTTGCACATCTAGAGACTGGAAGTTTTGCCCATTCATTTTTACAAAACAACAACAGCCATAGTATTGGGAGTGAGTGAATTTAGGTCATTGCCTTTTGGTCAATCTAACACAAGAATATGTTTTTGAACCGTTTATTTTTAGGGTCCGTTCTGCTGGAAGCTAAACCCCTGTCCCAACCTCAAGTGCTTCGTTAACTCCAGGCAGTGTTCTTCCTTGTTCTCACAATTTTGTTTACTATCTTCCCTGTCCCTGCAAAAGAACATGAACTGAGCATTATTATTTATTTATTTTGGTCCTTTTGTTATGTACTTATATATACACGTGTCTTTTGAGTATCTTGTTTTGGCTAGGTTTTGAAATTTGTCATGTACGAAATGAAAATAAAACAAAGGCAGGCCCATAGCATGATGCTCCCCCCACCATTGTTTACACCGGCAGTGTTAGTTGTCATTTTGATAAAAGGATAACAAAATAGTGTATTATTTTGCTTTTTTGTGGTCATAAACAAAATGTGTCACTGTAAGTCTCTACCCGGCACCATCCCATCGTCGGTGAGGAATAACATTAATTCAGTTCAATGAATGTCAGTGAATGTGGCGTACCCTGGATCCTCCTGTATCGGAAAAAAAAAAAAAGTTTTATGAAGACTCAGGTAAATACAGTCGTGAGTTTATCTGTGAACATTCCTCGGCAGTCGCTTCTCATGGCGTCCAGTTGTTGGAAATGACGTGCGAGACATTCTTAGAAGTACAGTATATGTGCAGTGTAAACATGTCGGGGGGAACAGAGACCAGGCCTGGCGTTGGGGCGACCACGGCTTCGGAGTTTAGACTACGGCTCGGCCACAGAGCAGCGTGGAAGCCAGACGTGACACGCTTCCTCTCGCCAGGATCTCACTGCACCAGAAAAAAAACACACAAAAAAACGCTTTCAGTGAGACATACAACGTACAGATGCTATTGAAATATTGGGATCTAAAGCAGCGGCCTCAAACGTCTGGCCCGCGGGTCATTTACGGCTCGCAAACAAGTATTCTTTGGCCCTCTAGTGGACGTCAATCTTTCATCTGATTCGGTTTATATGCAGTAAAAAAACCATTGGAAAACTTTTGTAAAAGAAGCAGTATGTAAAAAATCTGGCCAAAAGTGATACTGCACTCTCCCTGACTCAGGTTGCCAGACATGCAGACGAATCCAGCCGGGACCATAATATCTGAAAATAGATTTGTCAACAAAAAATCTATAACCAACACATTTTTCACAAAGGCCCTGATATAAATCCTGGTTTTAATCCTTCTTATGTCATTAATGATTTGAGAATAATAACGATACCTTTTTTTAGTTCTGTGGCCACATGTAACTTTACCAGTGAGATTAGCTCGATGGGGTGGGTTCTGGCAACTTGGAATTACAGACTTTCTGATTGGTTACACGGTGGAGGGCGGGACATCGAAAGGAAAACAATAACAAGATTTAGACTAGAAAACTAATTTTGAAATGATTTATTAATGCCTGTTGACAGATTAGGGCTCTTTAATGATGACTTGACATCATAAACATCTTACATATTTCTACTTTAAAGTTCCCAGTGTGCACCAGACAAGTACATGAATAAAACAAGGTTCAAAGTACAGCCATCCATCTTCTTCCCCTTAATCCCTTTCTGGGTTGGGGAAGGGGGTGGCAGTCAGAGCTGAACCCAAATCACAGAGCACCAGCCACGAATTCAAAGTGCACTGTGAAAAGAGTTTGTTTGTAAAAAATCTCTTGGTTATTGATTAGATAGATCCCATTCCTTCCTGCTGCTGTCAGACTGTACAACGAACAATGAGAACTTACAAACACAAGACAGAAATTGCTCACATTCTGACTGCCTTATAACAAGATTTTTTGAGATTTCATGACACTCTGAAGCAACTGCGGTGAAAGTTAAACTCATTATTCTAACAATTTGCACGAGGCAGAATTTTTCGACCACATGTGTAGGTTTTCTGAAGGCCAAGCTATACTGCACCGCGGCAAACGCTGATTGGACGGTCTCCATTCCTCCATGTTGTATAGTGACATCTTAGTCCGTGCTCGTCTACACCGACAATAAAACATGTCTTCTGTCTGAATTAAAGACACGATCCCCAGACGTTGTCCTTTTCTTCAGATTTATCAATGGGACCAGATGTGTCCACTGTCACTTGTTCCCGGCCCCTCATGCTGCTAACATGTAGAGATGTATACATACAACTATACAGTGCCTTGCGAAAGTATTCGGCCCCCTTGCACCTTTCAACATTTCGCCACATTTCAGGCTTCAAACATACATTTGTCAAGAATCAACAACAAGTGGGACACAATCGTGAAGTGGAACGAAATTTATTGGATTATTTAAACTTTTTTAACAAATAAAAAACTGAAAAGTGGGGCGTGCAATATTATTCGGCCCCTTTGCGCTAAGACTTTGTAGCGCCACCTTTTGCTGCAATTACAGCTGCAAGTCGCTTGGGGTATGTCTCTATCAGTTTTGCACATCGAGAGACTGCAATTCTTGCCCATTCTTCCTTGAAAAACAGCTGGAGCTCAGTGAGGTTGGATGGAGAGCGTTTGCGAACAGCAGTCTTCAGCTCTTTCCACAGATTCTCGATTGGATTCAGGTCTGGACTTTGACTTGGCCATTCTAACACCTGGATATGTCTATTTGTGAACCATTCCATTGTAGATTTGGCTTTATGCTTTGGATCATTGTCCTGTTGCCGATCATTGTCCATTGCCGAATACTTTTGCAAGGCACTGTATATACATTTTACACTTGGTTCTTTACTATGCTAAAGTTGGAGATTTTGTTGTAAGTAAGTAAATATGTAATCTTTATATATATAGCACATTTTTTACGGACCAAGGTCACCCAAAGCGCTGTACAATCTTTTAAATTGCAGTATAGAGTTATTGTTCATTCATCACTGACATTTCCCCACTGTGGGACCGATAAAGAATCTAAATCTTCTACATTGGCCCAGTCCTCAGCCAATAAGCAGAGATTTATATACTCACATCAACAAAGAACATTAACCTCGAGTTTTCCTTTTCCATTTTTACCAAAGTCATTCAAAAACCTGAAGGTTCTCGTCAAACCAAATCTTAATCTTAATCCATACGGAGCCCATCTATCCAAGTCCCTTCACATTTGTCTGTGTCCTGAGCTCAAAATTGTCCTTCAACAACTTTCGCACTCTTGCAGCCTGTAATTACATTGATTAGCATGTCCGGGTGCTAGCTAGCAGTGGACTTTTATAACCGGATTGCCAATGACTTCCTGCAGTAAAGCGCCTGTGGGGAGGTGGGCGGCTGTTTTATCAGGTGTTGGCTCCTATTCAAAGCTGAGGTGTTTCATGATGGGGTGGGGTGGGGTGGGGGGGGGGGGGAGGTGGGGGGGGGGGGGGGGGGGGGGGGGGGGGGGGGGGGGCCCTTACAGCCTCCTCCTGCCCCTGCTGCTGGGGATCTGTGAGTTGTGAGTGGATCTGATAGCGCATTCTTCCCCCAGTGCTCCTTCCTGTCCTTTTGTCTCTCGTTCTATGCACAAAGGCCCTCACAGTGGCCCAGTGTGATTAAGGGATCAATGAGTCCCGTGAGGCCGCCATTTGGGCTCCCATCGTGTCGTTTGTCACTCCTCTCTCTCTGAGCGGAGAGAGAGAGAGAGAGAGAGCGTGGGTTGTGTGTTACTGAAGCGAATGTATAGATAGATCAAGATTCAGTTTATTTGTCATTTGCAGTAAAACCCCATTGGAATACAGTACTTGTGCAAAAGTCCCTCAGTGTGCACCAGAAAAATATGTGAATAAAATTAGCTAAAAGTTCAATACGTCAATAAGTGCAAGAGTATTATGGTGTTTTGAAGCTGGAACATGGCTTTTCCAGGAGCCAGAAGAGTCATGGATTATTGTAATGAGCTCGGTTCAAGAGTCTGGATTCATAAAGAACTTCCAGAACAGCCAGCTTACAGTTCTCTTTCAGAGCGGAGCACCCCTCATGGTCTCTTTCTTGGATCTCTCTCGGGTCTCTCTCTCTGGTTACTCCCTGGTCTCTCTGATTAGTAAGTAGTAAGTAGTAATCTTTGTTTATATACCGCCTTTTCACTGCACATCGGAGTCTCAAAGCGGTTTACAATTGTTATTTTTTGGGAGTGGGGGTGCCAGTACAGGAGGCACATGCCAGACCTATTGTACATATTTTTAGTGGTAGGGGAAACCGGAGCACCCGGAGGAAACCTACGCAGACACGGGGAGAACATGCAAACTCCACTCAGAAAGGCCCTGGTCCAACCGGGATTTGAACCCAGGACCTTCTTGCTGAGAGGCGAGAGTGCTATCCACTCAGCCACCGTGCCGCTACTTTACCGTTACTCTCTCAGATCTTTCTCTCTCTGGTCTCTCTCTGGTCTATCTCTTGTCTTTCACTCTGGTCTCTCTCTGGTCTTTCTCTCTGGTCTCTCTCTGAGCTCTCTTTCTGGTTTCTCTCTGGTCTCTCATGGTCTCTTTCTCTGGTCTATCTCTGGTCTCTATCTGCTCTCGCTCTGGTCTCTCACTGGTCTCTCTAGTCTCTTTCTCTCTAGTCTCTCACTGGTCTCTTTCTGCTCTCTTTCTGCTCCCTCTTTAGTCTCTTTGGTCTCTTTGTGGTCTCTCTCTCTGGTCTCTCTCTCTCCTTTCTTTGGCTGTGATTTGACCAAACCACACAGTCACTGAGCCAAAACACGCAAACTGTCAATGGTGAAGGTGCGATGAAGGTGAAGCAGAACATTATTGAAATGGCAGCTTGTACGTCTTGCCCAAGGACATGATTGTGGCATGCGTCGTAAAGATAAGATAAGAGATCCTTTATTCGTCCCACAGTGGGGAAATTTCAGCGTTGCAGCGCACATACAGAACCGTAGTAAGAGCACACAGGGAGCACACAAGGGCTGAGTTTACACGGAGACAATGTGGTAGTAAAACGGTATAGTTGGATGTCGGTTGCTACCAACCGTTCATACGAAGACTGTGTTCCAGGGGGGTGAAAACGTAAGTGTTCAGATCCAGCCTGCAGAGTGGGACAACTCAGAAACGCTGCACAGCGGGGGCTCTCTTTCACACCCGCGAGAGGGGAAAAGGTGTGAAATCCCCCTCTGCTCTGACCCCCGCCTCCGCGCTGCTCCCCGCACGTACATTTGGACATGCGCAGTAGCGGAGAACAAACATCAACAACAATGGCGGCGGTCACACTAACTAGCTTCGTGGGCTTCCAGCGCGGCACAGAGGAAGATTCTACTCCTTTGTTCGTCCAAACGAGACCACGCGAAGCTCTAGGTTCAGTTTCATTTTCACAGATGCTGTTAAAATGCAGAATGATGTTGGTGCGTTCTGAGGGTCTGGCACAGGAAGTGAATATACTGCCGGGAGGGGGGCTGGGGGTTGTGTGTCGTGTTGTAAAGTTTCTCTGCCCACTACTGGCCGGGCGCTAGAACTACATCGTTTTTCAACCTCATGTGAACGCTGAGAAATTTGCATTAGGAGCCTGGTCGTTTCTGTTAATAGCCTGGAAACGTCTGCGCAGCGTCTCAGTATAAACAGGGCCAAAATGTACAACATAAGTAGCTGTAGTTGTAAATTCTTCAAAGGAAATCTAAAGGAAAGAGTATGCAACAATGGCTGTCCTTCTATGTATTCTTTAGCCACTTTAACTTTTGTTTAGAGTAATTTATGTTATGTTTGAGTCGTTTTTATCTTCATGTGGAAACACTCAAAGAGACAAAAGGAAGTTATTAGACAGATGTTTATTGAGTTACGTTTGCATGAAGTGTGTTGGTTCCTGCAGGATTTTGCCACTTACTGCCAGCAGACATGTACAGAAAATCTATTCAGGGAACAAAATTGTCTGAAATATTACCTGAAATTGGTTCGCTCCAAATTACAATGAAGCTATATTAATAACCGCTTCACTTTCACAACTGATTAATACTGTAGAATCTGCCTTTGTGTTTTGGACCGCGGACCTCTGATATATCCGTATTACTGCTAAAACATTATTGTCTTAACTGAACGTTATCTTAGACTGAAAATATGAATATCTCCGCCGTTAAAAACCAATGGGCCATCACTTGTGGCTTCTATGGGGCTTTTTCAAAATGGCCACAAGGCAGGAAAATGGGGAGAAAAACGCATTTACGCATGCGTTAGCCGGCACTAGCCCCATTCATTTAACGAGTGCCTTCTGATGTCCATTGAGGCTAGACTGGTCCAAAAAAAACCGCAATGATACTCCCCACAGCACTGACACGTCTGGAATGTACTAGCTTTGGGCCAAGAGCAACTTTTGGACCATCCTGTAAAGACGTTTTTCGAGGGGCCATACAAGAGCATCGGATAATTCTCTTTCCGGGTCGACCCCCACTGGCCCGGAGTGGGATTGCAAGTATGTCAGCCGGGACCCGCCCCCACTGATCTGTATCTTGAGCAGCCGTCATAAAAATCTCAAGTGAGGACGTCTCTGTTCTGATGCACATTGACACACATCATATGAAAGAGGACCAAAGTCCAAAATATTCAGCTCAGATTCTACAGACATTACATTTCTGGAGAATTTGTTTGTAATATAAGATAAGATAAGATAAGATAAACCTTTATTAGTCTCACAGTGGAGAAATTTCAGTGTCATCGTTGCACATTACAGCAGAGAAAGGAAATAAGAGCACTCAGATTGCACACATCAAAGTCTATTATTTAAGATAATAGACAATAAATTTAAGATAAAATAAAATAAAATAAAATAAGAAAATTTGGGCTACAATTGCACTTGGTTCGGAGTATTTACAGATATTTAGGAAAATGGACAAAAGATGCAGAGGTCTGGGATCATGTCCAGAAGAACACATGATTTATTGATGTTAAAACAACACCCAAGATTTTCAGTTTGCACAGGGCAAGACAAGACAAGACAAAACACATTAAAACACCTTAAAAAAAGTCTTAAAAGACCTTTAAGACTCTGCTACGGCAACAATCGCCGACCTTCAAAAACCAAAACATGAATGAGTCTTGCGTACTGTAAGAATGACAAGCTTAAGTTTAATCAAAAGTTTCATAAAGAGCACTCACTCATTACATTGTAACATGGATAACCGGAGCACCTGGAGGAAACCTAGCCCTGTCTAGAGGTGGAATCAAACCCAGGACTTTCTTGCTGTGATGCAGACACCTTGACATATGTAAGACGTATACTGCAGACACATAAAATGATGAGACAATGGCAGGAAGAGACTGTCTCGCTGTGGAGGAGGAGGGTCGCAAAACAAGCTGAAAGCTGAGTGAGGAACAGGGTAATACTTGCTTGAATCGAGTGGTTTTTATCTGAATATGAGCACAATCTGACTGTGTCAAAACAAGATTCTCCAATGGGACAAAACCATTTAGTCTTAATTCAAGAATTGTTACTTTCATTTCTAATTCTCAAATGTATTTATGTATTTCTCTGACTTAGAACATGTCATTTATTATGCAATGAAGTGGTAGGTGCTTATAAGTATTCTTTACTTCTGCCTACTCCTTTTGGGTTCTATACAGCACTTAAAGAAACTTTGATGCTCAAAAAAATCCACTGAACTGAACTGAATCTGGTTTTAATTCAGAATCTGCTCAAATTAAGATAAAATTTGACTTATTTTTCACCACTTTTCACCACTTTAAGCAGTGCAGGATTTCATTATTCTTCCCCAAACTTCATTCATTTAAACGGCTTCATAATCAGTGTTTGCTTTCTGTAAATATTGTTGATAAGATAAAGGGAGAACATTTATCTTTTACCTCTAAGTCCATAACTTTTGGCTACTCAGTGGTCATGATTCTCAGGGGATGCTATAGGAAATCCTCTTACACGGTTCTTTGAAGTGGGACTACAGGCTCTCGGATCCCAAAGACATGTCACAGTCAATCAATGGCTGCTGGAGAGAATCTTCATTCCTCACAAGCTTTGCCATACTTCATTGTAAAGGCTAAAAACCTCAGCACAAGCAGTGTACAGACAGTTAATGTGTTATTTAATGTAACTTTCAATATGCTACATAGAGATGTGAACAGATATGCACTATTGTTAGAAATGTGTATACTATCTACCTATCTACTGAAGAAGATGACATAGTCTGGGATCGCGTCTTAAATTCAGACAGAAGACATGTTTTATTGTCGATGGTAGAGACAGCACGAACAACACAAACAACAGAATGCAAGTGTATTATACAGAGCGGAGGCATGGAGACCTCCAATCAGCAGCTTCCACGGTGCCATGTAGCTTGGCCTTCAGATAGACAAAACAAGGGAAAAGTACTGGCTTCTGCACATTGATAGAATGATGAGTTTAACTTTAACAAAAGTTGCTTCAAAGTTTTATGAAATCTCACACTACCTACCCACCCTGGGGAAAATATGACAGAAGTATTGTCCAAAGTACTGGAACCTGATATGCCATATACAGTACGTGTGAAAGAAGATATGCTGTACATTCATCAAGTTCACCAATTTTTAATAATGTCAGAATGTGCAATAAAGAACCACATGTATCCACTGTCACTGTACTTAAAGCTGCACTAACAGACTTTATTTTTGTATTCATGACGAAAATGCTGTCCATGTCCATGCAGTGCATTGGGATATACGTCCTTTTGAAGAAAAAGTAGCGCAGGTTTGTGCTGGCGTGACATTATATTTTAGATCGAGAACAAGGAAGAGAATGTGTTTCGGGTAGCGGATTGTGACCAATCACAGAGGACCACAGGCCCCCACTTTGGTGAGAAATCTACAGGTCCATTAGCATTGACAGAAGTCCCGTTCCTCCGCGCTTCCCGGTTCTATCGTTCTGAAGAAGATGACAAAGTCTGGGATCGCGTCTTTAATTCAGACAGAAGACATGTTTTATTGTCGATGGTAGAGACAGCACGATCAACAGATACAACAGAATGCAAGTGTATTATACAGAGCGGAGGCATGGAGACCTCCAATCAGCAGCTGCCACAGTGTGCTTGTAGCTTGGCCTTCAGATAGACACAACAAGGGAAAAGTACTGGCTTCTGCACATTGATAGATTGATGAGTTTAACTTTAACAAAAGTTGCTTCAAAGTGTTATGAAATCTCACAGTTCTATGGTCACGCCATCCACGTGCAAATCCATATCCATGTATTATCCATATTGGGAGACTCTAGCTCCGTCAACAGCAGTGGGTGTGTGTGGGGGGCGATAGCTTCGTGGGTGCGGGGAGGGGAGCAGAAAGAGAGAGGCCAGCGAGTCCGCGGCTTCAAAATCCCAAAGTCCGTTAGTGCAGCTTTAAGTAAATACAGTAAGTAAGTCGTCTTTATATATATAGCACCTTTCACCGAGTCACAAAGCGCTTTACAATTGTTGTCATTTGTCTCTCATTCCTCACAGAGAGATAGTCCCAGACACTCTTGCTGCTAACATGTACAGATGCAACTAAATTCAGAGATTTTATTTAAAATCTAGTATAGAGTTATTGTTTATTTGTCTTGTGCTGTGTGTTAGCTGCCGTCTGTGCATTCTCACGTGATGCTAGTTTTGACGTGATGCCAGTTTTGACGTGATGCTAGTTCCGTCATGATGCTAGTTCTGATGTGATGCTAGTTCTGGTGTGATGCTAGTTCTGAGGTGATGCAAAATCTGACGGCGAGTTGAAACTGAAACACACTTTGAAACCTTATTCACCGTTTGTCCACTGGACCAAGAAGTGCTTCCATTATAAAATATTTTGGTCACATGACATTTTGCACTTCTTTTCACACAACTCCACCACATGCTGCTGTTTGTCTGCTGTTGTCCTGTAATGTTTAGCAGCTGCCTGGTTCTACCTCTGCCTGGTTCTGCCTCTGCCTGGTTCTGCCTCTGCCTGGTTCTGTCTCTGCCTGGTTCTGCCTCTGCCTGGTTCTGCCTCTGCCTGGTTCTGCCTCTGCCTGGTTCTGCCTCTGCCTGGTTCTGCCTCTGCCTGGTTCTGTCTCTGCCTGGTTCTGTCTCTGCCTGGTTCTGCCTCTGCCTGGTTCTGCCTCTGCCTGGTTCTGTCTCTGCCTGGTTCTGCCTCTGCCTGGTTCTGCCTCTGCCTGGTTCTGCCTCTGCCTGGTTCTGTCTCTGCCTGGTTCTGCTTCTGCCTGGTTCTGCCTCTGCCTGGTTCTGTCTCTGCCTGGTTCCACTTCTGCCTGGTTCTGCCTCTGCCTGGTTCTGTCTCTGCCTGGTTCTGCCTCTGCCTGGTTCTGCCTCTGCCTGGTTCTGTCTCTGCCTGGTTCTGTCTCTGCCTGGTTCCACTTCTGCCTGGTTCTGTCTCTGCCTGGTTCTGCCTCTGCCTGGTTCTGCCTCTGCCTGGTTCTGTCTCTGCCTGGTTCTGTCTCTGCCTGGTTCTGTCTCTGCCTGGTTCCACTTCTGCCTGGTTCTGTCTCTGCCTGGTTCTGCCTCTGCCTGGTTCTGTCTCTGCCTGGTTCCACTTCTGCCTGGTTCTGTCTCTGCCTGGTTCTGCCTCTGCCTGGTTCTGCCTCTGCCTGGTTCTGTCTCTGCCTGGTTCTGTCTCTGCCTGGTTCTGTCTCTGCCTGGTTCCACTTCTGCCTGGTTCTGTCTCTGCCTGGTTCTGCCTCTGCCTGGTTCTGTCTCTGCCTGGTTCCACTTCTGCCTGGTTCTGTCTCTGCCTGGTTCTGCCTCTGCCTGGTTCTGCCTCTGCCTGGTTCTGTCTCTGCCTGGTTCTGTCTCTGCCTGGTTCCACTTCTGCCTGGTTCTTCTCTGCCTGGTTCTGCCTCTGCCTGGTTCTGTCTCTGCCTGGTTCTGTCTCTGCCTGGTTCAACTTCTGCCTGGTTCTGTCTCTGCCTGGTTCTGCCTCTGCCTGGTTCTGCCTCTGCCTGGTTCAGCCTCTGCCTGGTTCTGTCTCTGCCTGGTTCAGCTTCTGCCTGGTTCTGCTTCTTCCTGGTTCTACCTCTGCCTGGTTCTGCCTCTTCCTGGTTCTACCTCTTCCTGGTTCTGCTTCTGCCTGGTTCTACCTCTGCCTGGTTCAGCTTCTGCCTGGTTCTGCTTCTGCCTGGTTCTGCTTCTGCGACAGTGTCCAGTGAGAGGAACAGGGGACACACAGGATTCTGATTGGATTAGCTCACAGAATACCAAACACAGCCTTTCACAGTGGATGTGAGCTGGCAAGGACAGTCTGGAGGAGGAGGTGAGTGTGTGCATACTGATGAATCAATCACACACACACACACACACACACACACACACACACACACACACACACACACACACTGACTTTCTTGAAAAATACGATACCCTAGGACAATGACTCATGTACAGAACTTGCCGGACTAAGCACACTCATTTGGATAATAAAGTATTTTCCCCCACATACAGACTGCTCTTGAATATACTGTATATATTCATATTGTGGTTTAACAGTTATATGCAGCTGTGTTGTTGGTTGTGTTCTTGCTTTTGGGAAAACTACAGTTGGAGCTAAACGAAGCCGTAGATGTTTAACTAGACTAAACATGATTTAATGATGAGGCACTATTGACAAAGATATAAACTTTCTATCTGTAAATGCACGATAAATAGTCCTAGTTTTTCACAGTTAATTTGTCGTAAATAAATGTTGTTTGTGCATTGCTGTTCACCTGTTCTCCCTCTGTCTGTTTCATGGACGCGCTGGTGGGACTCAAAACCCTGACTCCCTGGACCTGAGGACTGGTCCACAGCCGTTGGGAGTTGGCGGTTCTGTGACGCCCCTCGAGACGACTGTTGCTGTGATTTCGGGCGATACGAATAAAATTGATTTGATTTAATTACTGCAGTAGCGTTTTTGCTTTTACAAAGTGATCCAGACCAAAGCAGAGAGGACGGTCCCAACCAAACAGATCAAGCCGAAATCCACTGAAGGATTGAAACATTTAATTTCATCTAATCTAATTGAAAACCTCCTCGGATTGCGGAGGAGGAAAAATGTAAATGATGTGTCTAACATGTCTGTTCATTGACATTCTGTTCTGTCCCATTCAAGAAATCAATAAATGAAAAGAGCAAGCAATAGAACTTGTAACGTTCTGCTTTCACATGGACATAGTTGCCCAGTTAGACAAATTTGATGAATAATTTATGAATACAAGTTTAATTTTTTTGTTCACAAAAAATGCAGCAGTACTTTTCTCACACCTCTCTGCTGTGTCTTCCTAATTATAGTTGAATCTAACCAATTCATTTGAATTTGACTTTTCACATATATCTACAGTTTCTCTGCTCTCTTCTGCCATTCTCGTCCTTCCTGCTCCTTTGACAGGCCTGGATGGAGGGATGGAGGGATGGAGGGTTGGGGTATGGGTGGGGGGCATTACTTTTGTGCATTCTGCCCCTCCCCCCCTCTCTAGCCCCCTCTCCCCAATCTCTTCAACCACCGCCGCCAGCACTTTTGTTCCTCGCTCCCCTTTGATACTTCAAGCAGAGACAACAGAAAGCATCCTGGGCGCACATTAGCTAGATCAACGCAGATTAACCGAACTGAACCCTGCATGTTTTTATTTGGAAGTTGTGGGAGGAATAAAGGGGAGGGATGGGGAGGGGGAGATGGAGGTTCTTTTCCCCCCCACCTCTCGTTTTTTTCTCTCTTTCTTCAACCCATTCCCATCTTTTTCCCCTTTTTCTACCCCCAGATTATATGCATTCAGACAGATGGTTCCCGTCTGCTGGCTTTCCTCAATTCACTTCCTCTGAGCGCATACGCAAGCTCCACCCCCTCAAATCCTCTCCCCCTTTTCTCTCTCTCTCTCTCTTGCTCTCTCTCTCTCTCTCCGCCTTCAACCCAACGGCCCCCTCTGTTATGCGGCTGGAAATAATCTTTTATTGCCCAGTTGTTCGGAAGTGACCCCGTGGCCTTGATTAGATTTGGCCAAGTCCTATCACACGATTTTGCTCCAGGCCCCCAGTGCCGTGACCACAGGGCCCCCTTCCCCTCTGCTTCCTCTCCCCTCCGGCCGCCTGATCCCACGTGAGCAGGCAACAATGGGGGGCTTTAGTGTGTGTCCATGGGTGGGGTGGGGTGGGGGGGTCACACTCTCACACACACACACACACACACACACCCCCAGATCTGGTCCGTCCGCACAGTGCCATGGTGAAGTTCCATTGGTCCAGCCTTTGACCAGCACTGGCTTCCGGAGAATGACCTCAGACGTGGAATGTAGTGGGTTCTTGAAAAAACCCAACAAAAAGTAGATATTCAATGAAGAACCCGGTGTAAATACCAATATATCTTCCTGCATTTGCCCCATAAAAGGGAAGTAATAGTTTGTCCATATTGTATTTTCTCTCCCTTTAGGCTTGCTCAGATTGTTAAGAGAGCTCGTTAGCGTCTCTTCTTTGAGCGGAAACTTAGAGATTTCACCACAAACTCTAAGATTCTGCTTCACTTTTAAGGAGGCGCCATTAATGTTGCTTGTTGGCTCTGTGATTGTGTGGTTCGGTGACATCACAGACCAAGAAAGGGGACCATAAAGTGATCAGAGAGACACTAAAGAGAGAGACCAGATAGAGACCAGATCAAGACCAGAGACAGAGACCAGAGAGAGAGAACAGAAAGAGGGACAAGAGAGAGACCAGAGAGAGAGACAAGAGAGAGACCAGAGAGAGACCAGAGAGAGAGACAAGAGAGAGACTAGAGAGAGACTAGAGAGAGAACAGAAAGAGAGACAAGAGAGGGACCAGAGAGAGACCAGAGAGAGGAGCTCGGCTCTGAAAGAGGACTGCGAGCTGTCTGTTCTAGAGATTCCTTATGAATACAGACTCTTAGAATGACTCTTCTGGCTTCTGGAAAAGCCATGTTCCAGCTTCTTCCCTCTGGCAGAAGATATTGTTGGTTGAGATGCAGGAAATCTGGATATGCTAACAGCTTCTTTCCACAAGCTGTTATCATGCTGTACTCTTTTAGGTTGGTTTATGTATTTACTTGTTTGGCGCACACTGGGGACTTCAGCACATCATGTATTCCAATGTGGTTTTTCTGAAAAAAAACAATAAAATGGCAAACTGAATCTGAATTGATATTAAACTGACTGTAGTACGACTATGCGGCTCTCTGATCCTGCTTCACATGGTAACTGAAGAGGTCTATAGGGTTATAACATTTATTGTGAATTACTCTCAGTCTGTGATGCATCTGTGATCTGGAAACATCATACAAGCAATTTGGTAGCAACAGAAAAATAAAATGGAATTAATTTTCAATTTCAAACATTGGTAATTCTTTTATTGAGTTGTTTTTGATCACTAGAGAGTTAAGTAGAAACCTTTTATCCACAGGGGTCACCATATTCCTTACTTAGAGCCTGAACCATGTTTTTCCTACAAGGATTCTATGTCTTGAACTTTCATATGGAAACAGGAAGTGATTTTTCTTGTTGGCATTAAAAAACAGCCAAATGCAGAGTGAAAAACATGTATTAATCATTAGGATGTGACCGTGATAACAAGTAAAGATGTGTAGGTCTGTATCACAAACACATTATATATAGAATCGTGACTAGTTAAACATGCGCCGAATCAAGTGGTATCCGTCAGATATGTTGACTGTTTGGTATTTTAACATGGATTCCAGATGCCTGCATTCCATACGCACATGTGTGATCCAGCTTAGACCACAGTTTGTGTTGCTTTAGAGATCTGCTCCAGCCCAACCCTTCTTCCCCTGTCACATCAACTATAACCAGGCTGTTTGAAGGCCGGGAATAATGGTTCTAAACAGAGACCATTAAGAAACTGGGCAGAATATGGATTGACACATAATGTAATCTCTTTGCTGCGGTATGTTTTGTCAGTAGGATGCACTATTATCAAGACAAATGTAGAAAATCCTTTGAGTGTCACTACAACACAATAGTTCAGGATATTGGTTGTTGGTTCTGTGAATGTGTGGTTTGGTGACATCACAGACCAAGAAAAGAAATCGGAGAGACACAATAGAGAGACCAAAGAAATTCTAGAGAGAGAGACCAGAGAAAGAACAGAGAGAGATACCAGAGAAAGACTAGAGAGAGAGACCAGAGCGAAACAAAAAAGAGAGTGTGTTGTGAGTGTGACAATGGGACAATCTCTTCAAAGTAAACACATAATAAAGTTAGATGAACCCAGAGGTAAACTCTAAGATTGTGCTTCTCCGTTATCTCTGCACCATTGAAAGTTTGCTTGTTGGTTCTGTGACTGTGTGGTTTGGTGACATCACAGCCAAAGAACGGAGAGACCTGAGAGAGTCCAGAGGTAGGTGCTCCGCTCTGAAAGAGGACTGTGAGCTGCTCGTTCTGGAGGTTCTTTTTGAATCCAGACTTAAACCGATCTCTTAGCATAATCACTGACTCTTCTGGCCTCTGGAAAAACCATGTTCCAGCTTCTTCCCTCTGGCAGAAGATATCGTTGGCTGAGATGCAGGACATCTGGATATGCTAAAAATAGAGGTGTCAGTGAATATGTTCAGACAGCATTGATAGTCCTACACAAACTGAAAAAGTAAAAAAAAAGTTATAATACACATAGTAGTGAATGTCGCTAAAATGGTTACAACCAAACAATGTGCATGGTATTGTTGTGCCTTCAACTATGGCTCAATACTGCCGTCTCTTCATTTCATCATCTCATCTGTTACTGTTTACCTGTTTAGCTTTAGCTGCTAACAGGTGACTAGAAACATTTTTAATTGGCTTACTTTTACGTTAGCATTTTTGAAAGACGGATAATCAGACAAGTCGTTGCATTCTCCCTCATGTCCCCCCTGCATCATTCATTTCAGCTAAAAGCGTTATCGTACCAAGTATTGGCTATTGAGCTGTGAGTGATGATTAGCCATCTCAGAAACTTTTTCCTGCACGATCTGCGGACAGAATAGCTGTCTTCCATCAGATGTTCTTCACACTTTGGTCTTTTTTGAAGGCTGATAAATGTCCTGAGGGCTGTTGTCTCCTCCTTCGGTCATGATTCCAGTGTTTCTACAGCAAATAGCAAATAAACTGCATCTTGAATCTATCCTCTGGCATTTCATATGACATACCGCAACATTCGGGAATCACTACATTTAATCCTC